TTCTTTCTTTCTTTCTTTCTTTCTTTCTTTCTTTCTTTCTTTCTTTCACCACAAAACTTTAACAAAAGTATTCTAATTTAACTTTTTAGTGGTAAATATTGGACAACATTTCTAATAATCAAGTCTGGAAGTATCAAGCTAAAGAATAAAACATTCTCAGTTCTTGTCATTAGACATGAACAGCATTGGTCACTGAAGCTGGCTTTTTTTTTTTTTAAATAATTTTTGTTACTTCTTTTATTCATTTTTTAAATTTATATATGTTTGCCTGAATGTATGTCTGTGAGAGGGTGTCTGATCCCATGGAACTGGAGTTACAGAGAGTTGTGAGCTGCCATGTGGGTGCTGGGATTTCAGTCATGGTCCATCTGAAAGAGCAGACAGCGCTCTTAACCGCTGAGCCATCTCTCCAGCCCCTGAAGCTGGGTTTTGCTACGCAGAGTTCTGACACTTTCAAACACGCTTTGGACGCGCGTTGAACTATATATTTTGATATAGTTAAACTATGTCAGCTGAACCATATATTTAACAGTTGAACTATATATCTGGACACAGTTTACTTTTTTCCATTGAGTTTCATCTCAGCTTGCTACTTGAAATCAGATGAATGGAGCAAAATTTCAAACCAATAAATTGACTTGAGGTTTGCTAATGCACAGCAGGTGGTTAATAGTTCTTGGTTGAAAGGAAATTCCCCGCAGCGATTTAAGGGATTAAAACTGTGCTGTTTGCCGGTGGTGGAAGGTGGACTGAGCGGAGGGCGTCTGCTGTGTGTGAGTGAGCTCAGGAGCAGGCTTGGGAGCCAGGAGCAGGAAACACGCATCCTCGGTTGCCACTTACCAGCTGTGGGGTTTGGGGGGAGTAAGCTAGACCACTATGTATGTTAGTTCCCACCTACACTGCGGCTGTGAGGATGGCAAGCGTCAAAAGACCCCACACCACAGTCTGTGTGCACCTCCCTCTCTCCCAGCTATCAATGCTGGTCATGCTAGCTGCACTCAAAACCTCCGTAAGACACTGTAACATCACAGCGATCTGTCTCAGGCTCCAGGGCTCTCAGCTGCGTCCCAGGGGTCACACCACGGCGAGTGTTATTCTGCATACACGAAAGGATATCTGAGGCCTGCAAGGCATGCACACTTGGCTGGCCAGTTCCTCCAGTCACATTGTCATCCTTAAAAAATTGTAGCTCAGAGACAGAGCGCTTACCTCACAAGCATAAGGCCACAGGTTCAAGCCCCAGTGCTACCAACAACAAGGACTGTCCAGATGGAAATCCCTGCAGAGCCACGGAGAGCCTGGCTCACAGAGTACTACCACAGGGCCCAATGCTAAGGAAACTTCGAGTGTTACACAGAAAACTGACAAGCTCTCATCTTTGGAAATATGCCCACATAGGTTACACACTACAACTTCCTTGCCTCCAAAACTAGCTACAACTAGAAACACGTAACTTTGATGCATTCTGTCAACAAGTGTCACATGTACTCAGTTCTCCCATGGGGCTCTTTGATGAACACTTTGAAAACCTCAGATTAAATGAATTTCAAACTCCTGAGTGTATAAACATACAAAACCACAAATTACATCAAAGCCTATCTTTCCATGTCAGTGCTGTTAAACTGCATTTGATACTAACAGTTCAGAAAGAACCTACGGATCAGAAATTTTGAAGGAAGAAAATTCTGCCCACTGGCTGGAGTCCTGGGTGGGGAGCCGGGAAGTGCCAGGCGGCTGAGTGTGGGTGCCGAGGCCAGAGCATTCCTCACTAGATCTCGGGCAGCTCTGCACACACGCGCCTTTCCTCCCAAGCTTTTATTCATAGATTGATCTTATTTTATGCGTGTGAGTGTACCTTCTGTAGGCCTGGTGGCCCCAGAGCTCAGAAGAAATTTCTGGATTCCCCGAAACTAACTGTGGTTTCGAGCCACAATGTGGGGGCTGGGAACAGAAAGTGGGGTACCTCTGTAAGAACAGCGCCCCTAACCACTGAGCCATCTTTCCAGGCCTTCTGCTCACAAACTCTCAACACCAGTGGGCAGGTCTGCAAAGTTTCCAGCAAGGACAGGAACTTCCAGGGGCGAACCCAGACCAGAGATTCTAAATTAACGCCCACAGTCCCTGCTGGAGTGCTACAGGGCCCAGCCTCATTCTGCCAGGGCTCCATGGTCGGGCTCCGTTCAAGAGCCATGGATGAACTGCTCAGCTTCTCTGTCCTGCATTTGGAAAACAGGACAACAAAAGACCTCATGACAGGGTTACACAAGAATGAAGTAGTATAGATGTACTATTTGTAATCTGGATCTTTTTTATTTCCCACAAACCTTCACCCCCACCTTCACTCTCAACATTCAATGGTGGAAAATGTTTACCAGGCGCCTGCACATGCCGAGCGGTGTGCGTGACAGTATGACTTAGAATGGAGCCTTGCCCCTATCCCTATGCAATGTGTCCTATTAGAGGACAGAGCGGAGCCAGGTGCGGTGCTGCCTTTCTTCCTGTGATCCCAGCATTCTGGGAGGCAGAGGCCGGCAGATCACTGTGAGTTCAGCCTGATTTACAAAGCGAGTCCAGGACAGCCAAGGCTACACAGAGAAGCCCTGTCTCAAACAAACAAACAAACAAACAAACAAACAAATACCCCCCCAAAAAACCAAAAAAACAAAAACCCAACCAAACGCAAAGGACAAAAGATGCCTTCACTTCAGGTCCCCAGAGCATCCAGTTGGCTCCACTGCCCACAGCACACATAAGGAATGTCTGTACTTCAGCGCCAGCACCCAGCAGCTGTAACACTTCCCAGGTCCCCAACTAGAACTCCAGCAAGTGGTGAAAGTCCAGGGCTGAGAGGCAGGCTCAGACCCCTGTTTAATCTCCACATAACCCAAGAGCTCTCAGGTACTGCCATCTCTCCTCAGTTAGGATTCCATGACCCCTGCCAGCACCTAGACAGAGCTTAAACAGTCCCTCCGGCACAGGTACAGACTGCAGCTAACTGGGAACCGTGTGTAAGCCCTCCCTAGGTGCATAGTGATCACGAGGGATCGATTAACTGTCCATTGTTTTTGCTAGAGTGAGAAAGAATACTGAAACATACTATTTCAGAGAGAGAAATAGTATGTATGTGTCATTTGCTTTCAAATAATTCAGCAAAACCTCAGAATGATGTAACCATGGTAAAATGGGTATGTTACCAATTTCCTTCATGTTTGAAGCATTTTATAATAGGAAGTAAACATAGGGGCCTGTGGGGTGGCTTGGTGGGTGAAGGGCTTGCGGGGTGTGCACAGGGAGCAGAAGGTAAATCTCAGAATTAACGTAAGAGTGAGGTGCTGTCGTGTGAGCCTGTACTGGCACCTCTGAAGGAGAGCCAGGAGAATCCCTGCCAGGGCCAGACAGCCCTGTACAGCTGAAATAACAGCGATCCCGCCGCAAACAAGGAGGAAGGTGGGGTCTGACAGGCGAGACTGTCCTCTGACCTCCAAGGTTCTCTGTGGTCCATGAATATCTACGCGCACTCTGTGGGCATGCTAAGCATGCGAGTGCGCGAGCGCACACACACACACACACACACACACACAGTGGGTACACAAGTGAAGAAAGTGAAATGAACCCAAGACCGTTTTGAACCATATCCTTCACCTATGATCTCTTGACCAACTTCCTGAACGACCAGTCTACATTTGTTTACGGCTTTTTCCCTGTCTCCCACCCATTCTGGAACTACTTTCCCCCTATATTTTCCCCCACCTCCTCAGGACCGCTCCCCCACTAGGATCATCAATGGTTCGTGGGTCAATAAACATAACAGATGCTCCTCAGACTGCTGACTGTGCACGTGACCTTCTTCACAGTCTTTGCTGC